TAATATAATACTAATTAAAATTTTATTTTTAGACTTTATCTTGCTGCTCTTGAAACACCGTGCAAGTTTCAAAAAAAACCAACAATTATGTGAAGGCAAACCTGTTTTACGTCGCTTATCACGTCGAGATAATTCTGAATCTGCCTAATTGTTTTTCAATTTTAATTTTAGTTTCATTGTTAATGATAATTGCCTCCTTAAGGACTACTGTTTTAGAAATTTTTTGTTTATCTTTTGTATTTATAGTTTTTATCTTTCTTGTTATCTCTAATTTTACTGGTTTAAGCATTTTTTCTCGCATTGGTGGATGTTTTGGAGGTAAAATTTTTAAATGCATTATTATTGAATTTTGTATTGTTTTTAGTAATAAATCTTTTTTCTTTTAAAGTGATAGGAGCGCTTTGTGCATGGTATACAGCAATGGCAAATTTACTTACTAAAGAAACTTCATATTTCACATTACCAGTTTTCCCAATAAACAATGATCTTTCGACAGCCAATACTCGATCATCTAGACTTGTTTAGATTATATGATAATTATAAAATTTCTTTTTTAATACTATTTTCTTTTCCATATATCCTTTTTTGTAAAAATTTTTTAATACAAAAAAATTGTAAATGAATTTATTAAACCTGAGTTCAATTAATTAAATCTGTGATTAATTCAAATTTTCAAGTTTTTAACTAATGGAAAATTTTAACACTTGACTGTGAAAACTCGAAATAATGGACATAGCGTAATTTTTTTCAAGTCCTTTAAAAATGGATGCGTACTTGGTTTCGAAATAATGCCATGGGAGTCCCGAAATATAACGCGCATCTCCTATGAAATAATCTTGAAAATGGCATTTATCTTGAAATAATGCAGATGCTCGTTATTTAATCAAATGAGATATTGAGTTAGGCTAACTTAAATGTAATTATATTTTATTTTAGCAAATAGTAATGTTTTTTAAAGATAACAAAGGTTTATTTAAAATAATCAGAATATCTTAAAAACATTCTATTAAACTTTTCCATTCAATGATCATTTGTTCCAAATATATTCAAGTAAATGGTCTGAACTTTAAGATTTCTAGTTGAAATGTGAATTTAAACTACTCCATTAGCTCTCAATTGTATTTGTATGAACGTTTGCACAACTTGGGGTCAATAAATTTCAACTAAAATTTACAATAAAATGTTCTATATCAGAGTATTAATAATATCTTAAAGAATATTAGACCTGGCGAAACATTCTGTTCAATCATGTGATGCAATATTTGTGCAGTATGGTCCTTGATGAACATGTAAATAATCCTTTGTCAGTGTATTTCACAACTCCAAATACACATACATCTTCGACCCACTTAGGTTCATCATCCATTTCGAATCCACAAATCTTTTCATGTGTCTCTTGAACATTAAGGCCAGCAAGTAAGGCTGTTGTAGGCTTGGATGGCTTGGCTTTGCTCTTAAAAGCTATGGCTCAAGCTTGAGATATACTATTGGAACCATGATTTGAGCTGTGGCTTGATATACTTAATAAATGTTTTATGTCATAACTAAACCTAATAATAAAATTACAAATTTCAATTAAAATAAATTTTAAAAAGTAAAATCAACTAGTTTAACTCTTAATACTAGATCTAATATTACTTAATTCTCTATTTCCATACATTTATTTTCATTTGATAATGTATTTAATATTACTTTAAATTTTGGTTTCATTTACTCTTGATAAATAATAAAATGTAAAACAAATGCTCCTTGATGCTTGAAGTATATTTTCTACCAAAAAAAAAATTTTAGGCTATTTTGATCAATAATTTCATTGAAACAACCCAATTTTTCCTTCATTGAAGTTCAACATTCTTAGCTTAGCCACGATCTTAGCCATAGCTCATACTGTGGCTCTAGTAGCCATGGCTCAAGCCGTAGTTTTTATAGCTTGATTACGAATCATGATACAGCTCAATTGGCTTGGGTTGACTCAGCTCCATTATGCGGCTAGAGCCGCCCTCAAATAAGCTGTTAACAGCCCTACCAGCAAGTGCTCTATAATGGGGCGGAAGAAAAGGCCGAATTTATTATAAATAATCAAAGTCGAGTTTGTTATAACTAATCAATTATACGACTATATAATTAGTCAGCTAATTGGTAACATCATAACAATCATGCCATTAACTATTTAATATTTAATAAGTCGACTACTAATCAATTTTTAGTCGACTAATTAGTCGACCAAAAATTTAAATCGAACTTAATCTTACGTATAAGCTAACAGTATACAATTAAATGCATTTTAATTTACTTTTTGAAAACAATAAACCATTAAAAAACGAATCTTTTTTTTGTTTCTTAGACCGATATTGAAATACATCTTTATCATCACGTTTTGCTGGAGGTCCACTACATTAATTACAAACTATTTGTTACAATTATTTTTATAGAAAAAAAATATCATTTAATGAATTGAATGTTGGTAGCATGAACGTATTACTGTATTAATTAAACTCATAAAAAAGGGATGCGTCATATGATACACGCAAAAAAAAATTGTACATACGCTTCTTTGAAACTTTGTCAGTCTATTCCAGAGTTGCAAAGTGTTTTGTGACAATCAATCTCACCGATCATAACTTTCATGAAAGGTGACTATGAACGTATAAACATACATTCAAATGTATGTATAAACCTCCAAATGAACGTGCAGCACGTACATACTAGTTAATATACCGTAATATAATATTGTTTTTACATATTTCACATGCAGAATTCTTTATTTTATATATACGTTTAGGTTACATGTAATAGAGAAATTGCGTAATTTGAAAAGCTAGGTAGATTAAGTATAGCGATAGGGTTTGTAGTTACATATAAATGTATGAATGTACTGTGTAAGCAGGGGGACTTTCTCACTTTTCGGAAAATCACAACACATGATCAAAGCAGATAGATAGTCATTTAGCATTATTCATATATTACAACTTCGTTCATAATTCAACTTCAAAATAAAATAAATCGCGTTGTAAAGGAATCAGACTATTTACCTACATTATAATAGCAGCTTTACAATATTATAAAAAGTTTTAATAGCAAGTTACATGCCCTTCAATCATTTTTCTTAAAAACCTCACGTAATTAATAAAACTATACTATCGCGCATATTAAATTACTTCTATTGAATTAAATATCTTTTAAGAAGCGTGTATACTTCTAAAAAAGAGCTGCATAAGTTTGTTTAATATAAGTTAGAGTTCGTGTAGGAGGAGGTGGTGGATGTATATGTAATCCTTTACATATAAGAATTACAAATAGACACGCTTTAAGGTCTAATGGTATAATTTTGTAAAATTCAACTTTACACGATTTTTTTTTTAATTTGGCCACGACATATTTTATTTCCTGATCGATGAGGATAAGCTAATAATAAAATATATAATATTACTATAAAAATCATAATCAAAATATTTAAAATTTTATAATCAT